AAAGTACACATTGATTACTTATAACACAAAAGCTTCATGGCTGTATCAACCCTGAGGGTTCCCACACAAACATGAACACACTTGTGTGCACAAGAAAGGCAGCACACAACTGGTGAACTGTTTGTTCAGGTGGTAACACCTCAAAGCCTTTGTTTTAAGGATTTTTAGCACAGAAAGGCTAAAAATCCCAGCAACTGCACATTATGAGCCTCTCGTGGCTGGTAGAAGTTTCCTGCATTTAAATGTCTCCTAAAGGTTCTGCTTGTTACAAGCCTAAGTGTCTATAGCCATTGGCTAATTCTTTTAGGAAATTTCATTCTTGAGAATTGAGCTCAGCTTTGGACCCATAAGAAGTCACAAGAGAGGGCTTGATGGCAATCCAAATTATTGTCTGAAGAGTAAGCAATGAACAGCCAGAGGCTGAGTACTTCTCTGGCATAAACAGCTCCATTTGATCCTTCTGTCAAGTGACTGAAGTGCACAAAGAACTAGAACTCAGGATATCAGCATGGCATTCACGAAACAGCTGCAAGAATGAGATGGAGAAACCATTATCAGGCTTTGGCAAGGAAATTTTCATCTCAGTCCTCACTCACTGAAGTGCTAAAGAAGAGGCTGATAGTCAAAGGCTATGAGGTGAAAATTCAGAGGCTCTTGTTTAAGAATGGTAAATGGGGACACTTACCCATAACCATCACCATTTCATACCATCCAAAATGGTAAGGCAAGTTACACAGGATTTCCCTCACGTCACCATTAAGAATTAAACCAACTGTAAATTAAAGGGATGTCAAAAGATTGTTTTTAAGGATGGTAATAGGAAGCTGTGAGGCTTATGCTCACTTGTCAGCCCTTGTTTCCATTGAATCAAAGATTCTATGTTATTCTGTATCCTAAAACATCCAGCTTAACGGTCAGAAATTAAGGTCTGCCTTTCTTTTCTCCTATTTCCTACACATACAATATGGTGTACCTAGGACTGATTGTTCAAAACATCCTGCCAGCACCCTCAATGTCACACCAGTTTTGCATTAATGTTACCTTCACATTAACAATGTTTTTAACACTTTCTGCCTGCCCGTGAAACAAGGTCTAGCAGCAGCAACTCCCGCAGTTCTGGAATTATTTTAAAGTGGAATGTCACTAGTCATTTGCTGCTGCTGAGCTTGCATAATGAGGTGGAGCTGTCTCTTTGCAATGGCCGTGTTTAAATCCCATAGAAACTCCAACAGCTTGCTCTGGAGGAGAATCTCCATGGGCACAAACTGCAGAACCTGCTGGGGAGAGTCTGTGTCCAGCAAAGAGCTCATCAGTGCGTTCAGATGCTGCAGATACTCCACAACGGGCGCGGGGAGGCCGCGGTAACCAACGCACAGCAAAGCGGCGCCGCTGCTCAGCGGCTCCCGCGAGGTCGGGCACGCGAACGCGATGCTCCTGAAACAGCAGTGCAGGACAAAGACCAGGCCAGCTGTGAAACGTGTCAGGCAGGAGAGAACAGGCAAAACCAACGCATCTCCTGCTGCCAGCTGGGCCAACGAATGCAGGACACACTCCAAAAGGTGCTGCTGGTACTTTGGCTCTCCATCATACAGCAAAGAGAAGCTGAAAGTCAGCAGCATGGCTGCGTCCATGGGCTTTATTTCCATACTGGGCTGGCTTTCTGTGTCGCAGAGGGTGGGAAAGCCCACCACAAGGCACTTGAATCGGTCACTACAACTTTCATTTAGGGCTTCCTGATGGCACCTGGAAAGATCAGACACTTTTGCAAGTATGAGCTCCCCAGGAAGAACTTCACAAGACTGACAAGACTGCAGCATTGATCTGCTTTTCAGCCTCTCTCCACCCAACTCCTTCACAGCTTCATTAAGATTTTCTAAGACCTGAACATCACAAAATGGAGAACACTTTATTCTTGGCAATTTTTTTCCTTCCAAAATGTACCAAAAGCTACATTCAAGGTTAGAAAATGGTCCTTCCAGGATGCACATGTTCCCAGCATTATTTAAACTATGTTCCTCAGCCCAGTGATTAAAATAGCCCTTTACCACTTTATCATTCCATGTCAGGGTTTCCATCATCTTCCTTTCGTTGTATGTACTAAAATATTTATTTCTTTGCCCAAACCATTTTGCATTCATGCTGCAACCAGCCTGGGATTTCTTGACAAGCCAGTTATTTCTGCCAATGGGTTTCATGTGGAACTTTTGCATGAAGAACTCTACTGCACAGTCTCTTAACTTGTTCAGTTTCATCTGCTCTGCCTCTTCCATGCGCTCAAAAAGACGGATGTTCTCAGAGATAGTCTCTACCTGGCACTTGTGGAAGAACATGCAACACTCTTCATGTGTTTTAAGGAATGATTCTGGAAGTGTATGCTGGGAGAAAAGAGCTTTGTTGACCATTTCTGTTCCAAAGTTGCGCATCATTTTAGGAAGGAGCAGATGAAGGCATTCTCTGCCCATATAGCGAAGACAAACCACATAGGCCTCTGAGTTTCCAGCTTTGCTGGTGGCTGGTTTAAAGACATGGACCTCCTCAAAAGAGCAGTTTAGCAGAAAAAGCAGGTTGATAGAACAGTGTTCAAATAGAGTGAACATCTTCAAAACAAAGGATCCTCCAGTGCCCAGGATCATTAAAGCAGTGACTGTTTCACAGTAATGAAGCGGTGAGACCAGAGCTTCCTGCTCACCTGGATTTCCCTGGCAATCAAAGCTGCCATCAGCAGTTACCAAGTGGACTGTGGTCATACTGCTCACAAAGCTCTGAAGTCCTGTTAGATGTCTTAATGTCATCACATCCCCAGTGTTATCTGGGCCAAAGTACCACCAAGGTAATGTGTTTGCTATCAGACGGTCATCCATGATCATCATAAGGATGTCATTGGCTTCATGATAAGGGTTTAGAGTATTAGCCACCCAATTCCAGTGGCAAGGGACATGGTGGGACTTCAAGAAGTGGTTAAGGCTGGCTATAAAAGCTCCAGGTGCTTCACAGAGGTGGACAGAATTCAGTTCTCCATCTTGAAGAGCTTCTTCTGGGAGAAGAGAAAAACTGCACAGGATCTCATGAAATTTGCACCATGCTTGGGTACAGAGCTCAGCATTCACCGATTTCTTCACATGAGATATTATTTTCCCTGCTTTATTGGTAAAAGAGGTGTGCTGATGCCAATCCTCAAGGTTCTTATCACTCAGTTGGTTCTTCACTTCATTCATAGAGTCCTTCAGAACCAAGAGTGAGTGAAACTCCACATGATCACATGTAAAAGCATTGCTGGGATCTGGCAGCTTCCATTCATCATTCACTGGCTTAGTGTAAGTAAACTTCTTCGCAAAGAGCTTCTCAATTTCAGAAAGAATTTCAGGACTGAACTTTTCAAGGTTGGTCTTCTCGTTAACATAAGGCTGCTTACATTTATCCATTCTTGGGTGAATTCGCAACCTGGACAACATCAGGGGAGAAGAAACCGCGTCATTCCAATCACACCAGTACAGAAATAGGAAATTTTTAAAATAAAAAGTAAAAATGGGTTGTGCTTAACAGCTGTATTCTAGAACAGAGGTAAATGCTTCATGGAATGATGCACCAATGAGGAAAGTAAATGAGGGCTATCCTAAATAAGGTAATTTGAAAATCAGGAGGTTCACTGGTTCAACTGGCCCTCTTGCTATTTACACAGCAAGCAAAGAAGAGTTTGCTGGTGCTTGGCCCTTCACTGACTCTGAATATTCTGCTCACTGTATGGACATATACAAATACAAATATCTCTCTCAGTCACAAAAGAGAACACACCATAAGCTCTCCAAATTCAGCAAGTGGCCCAGAAATGTTATCATCTGATTATAGCAGTGTTTATCTGAGAGCTCTAAGTATCAGTGATGGGGAGCCACAAGCAAAGGCAACTTTGAGAGGGAACACAGCTGCTGCTCCTCCAATTTCCCAAGTGGGAACAACCCCCCCGCCTCTTCCACCACACCCAGTATAATGCTGGTGTAGCCCCTCACTGGGACCCTTGAGAACTGCCCCTCAGCTGGAGGGATGCTGGGCACCAGCCAGTGAGCTGTGCTCCCCTTCTCTGCTCAGCATTACTGCTCTCTGGCAGATGACTGCAAACCCTTATGCCTTCCTTTAATGACTGAAAAAACTGTGATAAATCCGAAGTGAGAGGACTTGGTTGCAGCTGTGGTCAATGGGAATACGTGCTTGATGTTAAAGAAGAAAGTAGTGCTAAGTGCTGTGCTGCAAGGCCAACAAATACGAGCACACTCACACAAAAGCTGGCAAGGCTGCTGCAGTCTGCTCCACCGCTCAGAACAAAGCACGCATCGCGCAAGTGACAGGCACTAACCAGAAATCAGCCAGCCAGCAATTTATTCCAAACTAAAGTGTTCATTTAAGCAAAATAATTCAATCAAAATTACCACCCAAAATAGGATATCTCTCAGCCTATCTCTTTAACCATCTTTCAAGCCCATTCCCACAACAGAAAATACAATGACCTTAAGTGTTACATAACAACGGAGTTTGGGAAAATAATGGATTAAAACTGAAAGAGCTGAGAAAGTTTGGAAACAATGGCCACCCTCAGCACTTTACTCTTCCTCTCACACCCATGCAGCATCTCAGGCCACAGCCCTTGTCTGTCTGCCTGCCCACCCTCATCACCATCAGCCCTCTGAGGAAAGAGAGGCACATGGTCACACACCCAGCAGAGGTTTCATCTTACCCTTCCCCAGTTTAAGGTCTTTCAATGGGCAGGTTTAATTTCACAGTCCTCTATGCAGATGTGGTCTGGCTTTAATTTCATCCTTTCTTGTAGGATGTTCTGGGTAAAGAGGAAAACTGAGGAAAACACAGACCACTGTGACCTTGTCTAGTTTATTTCATTTTAAACACCAACTATGAGTATGGGCTTTTAATTACAGCTCAGCCCAGTTATTCACAGAAGAGGTTTGGGTTGGAAGGGACCTTCAACACCATGTCGTCCTGACCCCCCTGCCATGGGTAGGGAATACCTTCCACTAGACCAGGTTGTGCAGGCCTCCATCCAGACTGGCCTTGGATGCTTCCAGGGATGGGGAAACCACAGCTTCTCTGGGCAACCTGTACCAGGCACTTACAACCCTCACAGAGAAGAGCTTCTTCCTAACATCCAATCTAAATCTCTCCTCTTTTAGTTAAAAACTGCTCCCCCTTGTCCCACCACTATTTGCCCATGTAAAAAGTTACTCTCCTTCTTTCATATATGCCTCCTTTAAGTACTGGAAGGGGTTCTAAGATCTCCCCAGAGCGTTCTGCAAGGCTAAACAACCCCAGCTTTCTTAGCCCGTCCCAGAGGTGCTCCAGCCAGAACACTAACAATACTCAGCCTTAAATCCAAGCTCACTCAGCACACAGCAACAACAGGCAAACGCCTGCTTTTTCATCATCATTTCCAGATCCCTTCAGGCCAGGACCAGGCTCTGGGCTCGCCCCACCGCGCAGCTCCTCACCCATCCCCGCGCTCCGCTTCCTCAGCGCGGCCCGGCCGCCTCACGCCGCCCCGGCCTCCCGTAGCGCCGCGCCCGCCCGAGGCGCCTCCCGCGCCGCCCGCTCCCTACGCGAGGCCGCGGCTGCAGCGCGGCCTGGAGCCGCTCCCGCTCGCAGCCGGCCGAGCGCCCAGCCCGGCCCCTCGCCCGCCCGGCACGCCCTCCCCTCGGGGGGCACCGCCCTGGCCCGGGCCGGGGGGCTCTGCCCGCTGCGGGTTTGCCATCGGCGCTGGGGCGGGCAGGAGCAGCCGAGCCCCGCGCAGGCCGGGCGGGCGGCAGCACGGCTGATCGGCTCCGTGTCCCGAACAGGGGCTCAGGAGCGGCTGCTCCTCGCGAGGAAAGGGGCAGCGGAGCCGCCTCCGAGCAGCGGGGAGCCCCGCGGGAGCGCGTTGCTAGAAGTTATCCGCGCAGCACTTACCAGCGCTAACGCTGACAGGTTGCTCAGGAAGAAAAGAGAAGAGCTGTGTTGGGATGTGTGGCCACCCGCTGGAGAGGCAGGGCTGGGGCTCAGCGCCCTGTGTGGTTTTTCCCGACGCCCTGGGCCGCCTGCCCTGGGAGCCTGAGCCCAGCGCGATCATCTCACAGCCCTGCAGGGGCCACGGCTCAGCGCACGCTGAGTCTCCGGAATCAGCAGTGATGCTCCTCCAGAGCTTGCTTTGCCCTCTCTAACCCACAACGCAGGTGCTTCAGAAGACTCTTCACATAGTAAACCCACCTTGCTGCCCTTTCTAAATCCCCGGGAGACTTGTTACACCCAGCTTGGGTTAGCAGGAGGCAAGAGCCTTGAAATATTAACAGAGTCATAATGAGCATCACTGAGCATCCATTGCAGCATCCCTCGAAACACATAGACAGCAAAACAACATCTAATCTGCACACAGAGGCAGAAAGGTCAAAGCATATTCATTACTACAGTAGACAGCAAGTGCAAGTTGCTTTTGAGACTTAAATATTGTGGGGATTTTCCTATATGCATGTTCAGGAACATGGCACTCCCCAGCCCTTCTGGGAGCAAATAGCCAACAATGGAGCATGAGTAAGCAGAAATGCTTTTGCTTTAATACCAGGCTTCCTGCTATTGATTTTTGCACTCTCACATATTCTTCATAAAGCTCAATCCAGTCTTAAGCCATAAGTAGTTTTGGTACAGAAATTCAGTGCTATCAGTATTAGGCACTTCAGAACTGATAACTTGGGAAAATTTTGCTTGAAGCCGAGTAACTGAAAAAAAAAATCTCCTTTACATGTCCATCGTAAGGATAATATAATTACATATATGTAAGGGATCTTTTCTTTGGCTCTAGGTACATGAGAGAATTTGTATGTTAAAGTCATAACTGAGCATAGGGATCTATAACCAGACAATTTCCCCCTCTCTTTTAAACTACTTGTTTGCTTTCTAAAATGAAGCAATAGCTGGAAAATAGAAAGAATCTTAAGTATAGAAAAGCCCGGTGCTACCTATAAACAGGACTACAGGACTAAAACTCTTTAAACCCCTTGAGGGGAAAAAAAAGAGGGAATGTATTTTTCCAGCCAAATCATGTCATATTGACCCCTAATAGTGGTGTAACAAAATGGTACTTAATGCCTCATCAGAAAGAAGTTTTACCTAATGAGAAAGATCTGAGGTGCAGATGGAAGATTTCTCTGTCTCGGTGCCTCTTCACCCTTTAACTGGCCTGTTTGAAGATCACCTTTACGCAACCAAGATTTTTGGCTATGTAAAAGTAGAGGGAGAGCTGGAGCAAATGAATGAAGGCCAGCTGGTGAGGTAGGGAGCTGAGAGTGTGGAGCTGAGGATGTGGTGGGTTCTCCAGTGCCTGGTCTGGTCTTGATTGTACAGGGCACACTGTAATGGCATTGCTAAAATCTTAGTTTAGCTCATGAGAATTTATAGTGGGAAGATGAAAGGTAAGTTACAGTCTGAAATGTTTGTGTTTGTAGTAAAAGCCTGAGCAGAGCTTTCCTTCAGTTTTGGCTTTCTCACTGATATTTCCAGTGGTGCTGAGATGTTTTGGTTGCCTTCCTTCTGTTGTTTCTGTGTACTCACACACCAGCCACAAGGTTTACACTGACTGACTTCTGTGGGCCATAGGTAATTAAAGCATTAAGTTTAAGGGTTGATTCTTTTTAATTTCTTCTCAAACACATCATTTCTCACACGTTCTTGAGTGCTTGGAAAATACTACCAAGAGAACAGCTACAATTCAGCTCACAGGGGAAAGTGGTATGTAAGCAAGACTTGACCTTTGCATTTCTGCCCTGCCAGGCTTTTACTGTAGCTTGCAGCTTCTCAGTGTCACGCTCCCCTGGACTCCTGGAGATAAGGCTCTTCCAAATCACAGGAGAGAACAATTCATCATTGAGTGCATGACAGCACAAGAGTCCTAGCTAAAATAAATATGATTGAATAGCAAATGTGATGCTTTTTCTGAAATTAAACTTTCAACTCGGCTTGTGAGCTTCAGGATTCTTCTGTTTTCTGAAATCTCTTCAAGTTAAAGCAGAAATTTGAGTAGACACTTCTGTTTTATGCAAAATAATCTCTCTTTGTTGTTGTTGTTGTTGTGGTTGGTTGGTTTGATAATTTTGGTCCATGTAAGATACTTAAAATGAGAACATAGCACTTTCTTCCTGCATTAGCCCTGCTTCTATAGAGCTAAGCTTTTATCAGCTGATCTACAACTGATATTTTCCCAATCAGACTGTACCCTGTGTGCACAGCTGTGGCACCAACAGCCCAGATGGAAGCATCTGTCTTGAAAGGAATATTGGGCAGTTAAACATAAGAAGTTAAATATCTCACTAATAACAAAATAGTTTTGTTTATGCCCCTGATTTTTTTTTCTTTTGTAGATATATGATATAACTCTACTATGTGATGGAGTGGGGAGTATTGCTGGAGTATTTGGGAGCTCTTTCAGTCATACTGGATGTGTACAGGGAGTTGTCTGGGAAGACTATGCTGAGCCAAGGAAGAAACTTCCATAGATTCAAAGGGATACCCAGTACTTCTCACCCTGCTTCTATAGATCAGTCCCAAACCCACATAATTTTGCACCAGATCTCACCATGGTTTTATCTATCACTGTGCCGGATGCAAGACATTTGTAAATTGGGGTGATAGCATTGGTGTGGCAGAGCAGTTTGAGAGAATGCTCTCAGTCAGACATGGGAAGAATTATTCACAGTGATTATGTGGATGATTATGATTAGATTTATTGCTAATAGAGTATCTAAATTAAACAGTGTGGTATCTAAATCACAACACTATTGACTATTGTGGTTCATGATGCTGGGACAGCTGGTTGCCCTTAATGAAGTGGGTTTCCATGACCTTGGGGACTGATCTATAAGGGTCATTCTTCTGCTGCTTCTGGCTTGCAGTCCAAAGTCAGGCAGATTTTTGTTTCACTTTCATCACCAGAGGAATTGCAGCTGCTATCTGCTACAAGGAAAGTGAGTTTACTCCAGTAAACAGTGTCTGACATAGCCAGTTACTAAAATGACGTACAGTTGTCTAACCTTTGCTTCTTTAAACAAAAATCAGTTAAATGAAAGGGAAAACCTATCAGCTGTTCAATAATGTGTTATTATTGCACCACAGACAAGATAATGAGGAAGCATTGATCCTGTTGGAACAGCACAAATACATCCTGACAGACCACAAATACCAGTGGTAGTATGTTCACCTACTGACCTCCAGAAATCAGTGTTTTCCAAAGGGGGCTTTTGGGAACTGAGGACATGGTCCTGAGACCTCGTGAAAGGTCTGGCATTTTACTGTGTCAAAATATTATCAATTATTGAAGAGGAAACCAGACCACAGAGGAGGATAAACTTTGGTCCTGTGTTGTTTTGATGTAAGTAAGTGACCTTCCTAGGGAGAAGTCATGTTCTTCATATGGAGAAGCATATTGGAGCCCCAGGCCAGCAGCTGGCTGTGGTGCCAGGATATGAACTGCATTTACCTGTGTTGAAAACATATCTATTGTCAAGGATTCTTAATGACATGGAGCTGTGTAGTATAATTTAATTTTCTGAGAATTTTTTTCTTCTGTGACAGGCCTGAAAGCATTTCTTCCTTATTCATTATAATTTTTAGTTAAAGTTATTTGTTTTTATTGTAGATCACAAGGGTACGTGGCTTTTTTTAGTCCCTTGTCAACCAGGATCTGTGGTTTCTTTTCCACTTATTCTCACTAAGGATTGTTTCAGCCTTCCACCACACTTTCCCCTGTACTCTTTGATTTTTTGCCTGCCTCAAAGCACTTCCACATTGAAAAGCCCATCCTTTCATCCCAAGCCTGACGTGCTGCTGATCCCTGGTTGTGCTCTTTGTATCCCTTCAGAAGGTTCAGCTCCTTTCCCTCAAATCCCCAAATAATCTTTTTTATACTCTTTCTCTCTAAGTTCCTTGCCACAGTTGCTTTTGCTTCCACAAATTCCCATAGCCACAACCCCAGTCTTACCCTTTGCTGTTTGATACATCTCCTAGAGCTGGAAGATGGAAGTGTTGGCTGGTATTAGGACATCTCTGTTCTTTTACTGATTTCTTGGTATCATTTATTCACAGGTTTTGTCAAGTTGCTTCCTCTTTCTGCCTGAGTCGTATAAAGATAGGTTTTACAGAGCAGGCATACAATTTGTGAGTGCTGTGGCTGCTTCCCTGCCCGTAAACATCATAAACCCTTTACATTAACTGATCTCTGTCCTAAAAGTCTTTTCCCACTGCCCTCACAGGAGGACTATTTAGGATTGCACATTTTGGCCAGCTGGAAGCTTTTTTCTGACGTCTGGCCTAACTGAACACGCATCTCCTCTGTTTCCTGCTGCCTATCTTGAGTTTCTGTATCTCTCCTGCCTCCATGGCAACATTTTCAGGCTGTCATGGAAGCATTGCTTTGCTCTCATTTTGCTCAGCTAACCATGACAGGCTCTTTGAACGTCTGGTTTTCTGTTCCCCCGGCCAACCCTTTGCTGCATTCACTGTGGTCAGAGGTCTCTTTCCTGTCAATGTACAATGAGCAGCATGCTCACCACTCCAGGCAGATCTTGTTAGAGATGGTTATTAAAATGATCTGTTGGGGAATAACTTTTCTGGTATATAATTCAATTTTATCTACCTTTTTTGTAACTAGTAACACTCCAGTGGCTGTCTGGCTAGCCAGGGTACAGACAATAATGAGTTTCCTGAACAACGCCTTTCTAAATTGCTGCAAAATTCCTGATTAATTCTTGGCAGCAATTTTTAATCAAACCTGGAACAAGTGCTTTCTGAAGTCAGCAGAAAAGCAGAATCTTACCAAACTTTAGCCATTTCACCTTTCTCCAAAACACTGAGGCACAATCCTGGTTTTTTAAGTATGAGAGAACTGGGAGAATGCCCCCAGCTTAGTGCAGCTGTAAGGGCATAGTAATGCCTGTAGTGCT